AGGGAGGGAGGGAGGGAGGGAGGGAGAGAGGGAGGGAGGGAGGGAGGAAGGAGGGAGGGAGGAGCAGCTGCCCACCTCAGGTTTGCCCGTGGTGAGGGAGGAGGCGGGGAACAGCCCTTAGGCCCAGCCCCTCGTTAGGCTGAGCCCAGTACCCGGTCCCCATGGGAGTGGCGGTGGGGAACTTGGTAAGAGACCGAGGCAAACAGACTCCTCAGGGCCCAGGAGGGAAGGGTTGTGGGGGGGTTTTCACACACACGACTCATCCCATCCCCGAGCCACTTCAGCGCTGCATCCCTTCTTGCCCGTGTGACTGTCACCTGAGTGCTGATGGCCGCCCTCAGGGCGCTGGACAAGAAGCATAGAGGAGCCCTCGTAGAGACCCACAGCCCAGGGCTGCATCCAGCAGGCCGTTGCCTCCCAGGCCCTCACCTCCCAGGCCGTCGCCTCCCAGGCCGTCACCTCCCAGGCCGTCGCCTCCCAGGCCGTCACCTCCCAGGCCAGCAGAGGGAAAGCAGTTCCTGTGCAGGCGGCTTCCCCAGGGAGTGCCAGGAGGCAGGTCCTGCACCAGGGAAGGGGGCGCTCTGTCCCAGGAGGTGGGAAGTAAAGCCACGAGTGGGCCCGAGGGCGAGGGAGGAGTAAATTCTCATGGGGTATTTCCTGAAGCCTGACCCAGAAAAGGATCAGACAGCCACAGTATCAGCGCGTCACCTAGAAATGCGGAGGTGACCACAGAAGAATCAGCCCAGGATGACAGTTGTTGCCTTAGGGTGAAAGAAAGGGTGACACTGGGTAGTGGCTGGTTTCCATGGACGTTCCGTCGTGGAATGACATGAATTCAACCCGTGTGTGTGTGTGTGTGTGTTTCTTGTGTTAAGAAATGAAAATGCCAGGCAGCATACTGAGTGATTCCAGTTTTCTTTTTCTTTTTCTGTCTTTGGTACTAGGCTCAACCACGGAGCCTCCCCCGACTTCTGTACTTTATTTAGAGACAGGGTCTCCCGGAGTTGTCCAGAGCCTCACGATGTGGCTGAGGCTGGCTCTGAACTCACCGTCCTCCTGCCTCAGCCTCCCGAGCTGCCGGGATCACAGGCGTGGGCCACAACACCCAGCCACAATTCCAGCTCCCACTGTTTATCCTAGAGAAAAACTCATGCACCTGACCAAGGACGAGATGGTCCTTAAGGTTGGGAGTGGTGTCACACGCCTGTAATACCAGCGACTTGGGAGGCAGGGGGATTGCAAGTTTGAGGTCCACCTAGGAATCTTAGTGAGACCCTATCTCAAAAATAGAAAATAGAAATAGCGGGGGATGTGGTTCAGCAGTAGAACACCCCTGCCTGAGTTCAATCCTCAGTACTGCTGAAAAAAAAAACAAAATCAGTATAGAACTGTTAGTAAGTTGCCAAAGGTTGGAAATGACTTAGCTGCCCGGCCAAGGAGACTCAGAATACAATGCAGTCTGTTGCTATGGAAAACTGAATTTCAATGAAAGAAATGGGCTAGGTCTCCATGGGTTAACACGAACACACCAAAATATATAATTGTTGAGTGAAATAAAAACCCACCTATATGCTCTATACTGCATACTGTTGGCATGTCTTGGTGACACGTGTTACTACGTCTGTCCCTGGGCGCTGACGTATTTACCGAGATCTGAGTGGGTGACCCCAGAGTCAGCACAGCGGTTACTTTTGGAAGGCACAGAGGACAGAGTAGGAATTAAAGGTGACGGTCAAAGCAAAGTTTTGTATCATCCAGAATATTCTAAATTTTTTCAAAAGAAGATATTTGAATATTTACTGTGCAATTAAAAGTTAAATGACAACAACAAACCAAAAGTTCCCGAATGTCTGGAGACCCTGTGGATCACCCGCCCGGCTTGGCAGGCCCCTGCTCAGGTTTCCTGAGAACCCGCTGGGCTCTGTGCTGATGGCGGAAGCTGCCCACGTGGGGCCTCCTTTCATGACTCCTTACTGAAAACCCGTTGGGCCCCTGGGCGGGGAAGTCGGCACCAGCCCCCAGAGGAGCACCAGAGCTCGGGGACCCCGTGCCTCTTGCACCCCAGACAGACCACGTTGTCCAGAAAGAAAGTGCTTCCCCAGGGCTGCAAAGACAGAGGAATTAACATAAAGACGGGTGAGGACTCCACGTTCATTAGTATAGAACACAGGTGGACTGCGTCAGGACCAGAGCCGCGTCCCTTTCACCTTGGGTCATCTGTGGAACTTGTTGTCCCCAACACACCCCATAAACACGCCACCCGTCTCTGTGGCTCCAGATACCCAGAGCAGCGTGGAGGGGCACCCTGTTGGACCCAATCAAATAAAAGTTAAAATATGGAGCCTTCGCGCCACGCTCTTCCCCTGACCACAGGCCTCTGACCCCTCAGAGCCACTCTGATCTGTACCGCCCGAGGGAGCGAGGGTTAAATGAGATAGCAGGTGTGTAAACACCGTGCCCAGCCCGGCTGGCATGCAGCAGGACGGCAGCAGCTTCGGGATTGTCACCTCCCCCCGCCCCAGCTCCCTCCCACCCCTAAGCAAAGGACCTGTCTCTGTCAACCCAGCAGGAGCCCCGAAGACGCAGGTCCAGAGCGCACAGCGGACCATTTTCCTAATCATTCTGTACTATTTGGATTAAAGAAAAATCAGTGTTTGTTTTTCCAAATAAGCAATAGGATCACTTTAGAATAAGGATCAATTTAAACCAGAACAGAGAACTGGGAGAAGGGGGGTTTCCCACCACAGGCTTCATCCCGGGAGGGGCTCTGCGGGCGGGGGGCTGGGGAAGGAAGGGCTTCCTCGTATCCTGGAGAATCTGCCGGTGTCGTCCACTGAGCTGCACCCCAGCCCGAGGCCTCTGTTTTTATTTCAAAATCAAGAGTCCAAGTGTCTACCCCAAAGTTGCTTTAATGAAGCAGAAGTCGATTTGTCCACTAGAGAATTTCCTTTCTGTGTTTCCAACTTTTCTAAGCACAGAACACTTTTTGTCATAGATGACTATAAAATGTGTTTGACTCAAAGAAGGGACACTAGTGCACTATCTATCCCCATCTCAAGCCTTTGGACAGCAGGACGGCAGGTTCCAGGCTCAACAGAAAGGGGCCCCTGTGACGGGGTCTTCTGGATTCCTTCACTGTCCCGGTTGGATAATAATCACGATAACATAATGGAGTTTCTTGGTACCGGGGATCGAACTCAGGGGCACCTGACCACTGAGCCCCATCCCCAGCCCTACTTTGTATTTTATTCAGAGACAGCGTCTCACTGAGTTGCTCAGCGCCTCGCCGTTGCTGAGGCTGGCTTTGAACTCCTGATCCTCCTGCCTCAGCCTCAGGAGCCACTGGGATGACAGGTGTGCACGTGGTGTACAATGGAGTTTCATTTAGCCAC